AAAGTTTTTTCCCCCAAAGACCCAAATGGCCCCCCCCCCACTTTTTTTTAAATTTTTTAATTCCCCCTTTTAACCCACCCCTTGCCCCGCCCTCCCAAAATTTAATTCGTTCAAACCCCTCCAAAAAATTTCCCCCCCAACTGAATTTCCCCAAACCCTTTTTAACCCAAAATTTTTGAAAAAAACCAAAAAAAATTTCCCCCCTTTTCCCTTTTAATTTTCTTTTTTTGAACCCCCAAAAATCCTCAAAAAACCCCTTCAAATTCTTTCAGTCCCCAAAAACCTTCCATCCCCAAAACACCCGGCAACTCCCACTTGGGTTATTTTTATTTTAATTTTTCCATTTTTTTTTAAAATTTTTAAAATTTCCCTAAAACCCCAAATTTAAAGGATTTTTATGGGAAAAAATTTTTTTCCTAATATTAATTTAAATTTCCCTCCCAGGTTTGTTTTAACCAAAACCCTTTTCAAATCGGGAAAATTTTTTTTTTAATTTTAAATTTTTTTTTTTATTTTTATTTTTTTAAAATTGAGTTTTAACTTTTTAAAGTTTTTTTTATTTCCCCACTTAAAAATTAAATTTTGGGGAAGGGCCGGATAAAAGGCAAAAAATTGCCTTGAAAATAAATTTTTTAAGAAAATAAAAACATTCCCCCCAAAAAAAAAAAAACCAATAACAAACTTTTTTTTGGGACAGTGTTTTTCTATCAAAGCTTTACAAAAAGCAAAATGTTGACCCAATAAAAAAATTGTTTTAACAACTTGAAGTCCTTGCTGTTGAATGCTGATTATTTGTTAGTGAATATTTATGTAGCTGTTAAAATACTAAAGTTTTTTTTTTTTTTTTCCCCTTTAAAGGGGTTAAGTCCAAGCTCCCCTTTTTCCTGACACAAGTAAAAAAACAACAGGGGGTAACTAAAGCTACGAGCAACAAAAAATAAAGCCCAAAGCGGGTCTTTCCACTAGGAAAAAAAAATTAAAAGCAGCAAAAGAGCACTTTCCATTTAAAAAACCCAAAGAGGAACAGCACTGGGGAAAGGGATTTTGTGTCTTTTTTAAAATTTCTGTTTTGTATTAGTAATAGTTGAGGGGGAGAAAACCCCAAAAACTGTCCCAAAAGTTTTTCTCCCCAAATTTTTTGGGTTTAAAATAAATTGTTTTTGGGATATTTTTTAGGTGGGGGGGTAATCATGGAAGTGGGACTATAGTAATATTGGGAAAATTTTAAGTTGAAATTTCTGGCCAAATAAAATAGTAAATAAAGCAAATCCTTATTTCTAAAGGTTTTTTTGGGCAAAAAAAGGGGGAAAAAAAATGTTTTGGGAAAAAAAATTTTTGGGGTTAGGATTTTTGGGGTTTTATTATTTAATTAAATAAGGGTTTTTTGTTGTTTTTGGGGGGGGAAGGAATTTTTATTTTAAAAGGTTTTTTTTAAAATAAATAATTAATTTAAGTTATAAAAAAATATTTGTTTATGAAAATAAGTTAAAAAAAATTAAAACTTCCCCCATTCCTAGGGAAAAAACCCCAATCTGCATTCGTCACTATTGATTTATTAACCCCCAGGTATCTTTCTTTGCTCCATCCTCTCTAAATAACCAACCATTCAAGAAACCCCCCCTCACCCCCTGGATAATACTTTTTTTAACCCTATACCTCCAAAACCCCAAAAATTTTCGATTTTTTTTTTTTTAACCCCATTGGCCATTTCCCACTTTAAGGGAGGGGGGCCCAAAAAGAATCTCCCATCATTCACTCCATCACTGTCTTGCCAAGGGCGCTTTCAAATACATTATAAAACTGCAACATTAACTCCCCTCCCCTTTAAGAGTGGGGGGGGCACTGGCCCTTCCCCTCTCCAGGACTTCAGTCCGGCCTGCCCGGGTTTTCCCCCCAAACCCTTCATAAATATTACCGCTCAAACTCCAACAGCAACGTAAAGTCCTAAAAACCATTTGTCCATTGGGGCCCTGTCTAACACTTTTTACGCATGCTTCTGAAAGTCCAAGCCCCTAAAAATACAAAAAATTCCTTTAAAAAACCCCCCCTCCAACCTTTCCCAAGGGTTAAACCCCTACCCTTGGGCCCTTCCCCCCCACTACCCAAAATTTAAAAGCACTCCCGAATCATTCTATTTTCTTCTAGCCTCTACAAGGCCGAACCACCCCCAACAACCCCTCCCACCCTTGGGTAATAGTTTTGTACTCCTGCACCTTTCCCCCTAATTTCCCAAAAAACTAAATTTTCTGCATTATAAATTTATACCACACATTGGGCCCCTTTAAAAATCTCCACAGCCTCCAGCCTTTCTCCTTGTTGCCAAAAATTCACCACCCATGCTTCCCCACCCCCCAAGAGCATTGGGTTTTAAATATGCTCTCATGCATTTGCCTCTTTGCCTTTCCCTGGACCCAAAATTTTTTTCCCCCACAAAACTCCTCAGGCACCACTCACCCTTTTTCCCCCCCAATTCTTAAAAAAATTTACCCTTGTCTTTCATAGACCCCTCCCGCTGACATGTCCCCTCCCCAAATATCTGAAAACCTTCAAACCTTTCCCCCCAACCTCTCCCTCCATTTTGATGTCCATTCTTTCGTTAACCCCATTTTTTTTTTTAAACCCATAAAATTTTTCCCCTTTTTTTATACTATTTACTGTTTCCCCTTTTTCATACCGTAAACCCAAAATTTGTTTCCCCCAACCCCTGCAACTTCCTTTAAATCTCCCCAAAAAACAGTGGGCCCTCAGCAAAGAAACAACTGGACAAACCCCCCCACTTTGACTGTGTTTTTTAAATCCAAAAAAACTTTCCCCAAAACCCCCCGCATTCACTTCTCTTACAACCCCATCTATAAATATATTGAACAACCATGGTGACATCACACATCCTTGTCTAAGGCCTACTTTTACTGGGAAATAATCTCCATCTCTCATACATACTCTAACCTGAGCCTCATTATCCTTGTAAAAACTTTTCAGTGCATTCAATAATCTATCTCCTATTCCATACATTTGTAACATCTGCGCCACATTGCCCCCCTATCCACCCTCTCATACGCCTTTTCCAAATCAATAAATGCCACAATAACCTCTCTACCCTTATCTAAATACTGTTCACCTATATGTTTCACTGTAAACACTTGGCCTACACACCCTTTACCCTTCCTAAAACCTCCTTGTTTATATGCTATCTTACTTTGCCTTACTCTTAATTCTTTCAATAATAACACTACTATCATCCATACCAGGTGTACTCAACAGACACCTTTGCCTTTATACAAAGGAACTGCATGCTCTCTTCCAATCCCTAGGTACCTTACCTTCTTCCATACATTTATTAAATAGAAGCACTAGACACTCCAAAACTATATCCCCACCTTTTCTTAACATTTCTGTCTATCCTATCAATCCTAGCTGCTTTACCTCCCTTTCATTCTACCCTCTGCTTCGCGAACTTCTCCCCACACTCACAACTCGCTCCTCCTCACTCCTACAAGATGTTATTCCTCCTTGCCCTCTACATGAAATCACAGCTTCCCTATCTTCATCGCCATTTAAGTTCCTCTAAATATTCCCTCCATCTCCCTGATACCTCTAACTCTCATTTAATAACTTTCCTCTCCTGTTTGTAACAATCAAATCCATTTGTTCCTTAGGCTTCCTCAGCATATTAATCTCACTCAAAAATTGATTTTCAACAAAATTTGTTGATAACATCTCACCCACTATTTTATTTGCTCTTTTTACATTGCTTCACCATTCTCTTAACCTCTCTTTTCCTCTCCATATACCCCTCCCTCCTTGCATCACTTATACTTTGTAAAAACCTCTCATATGCTAACTTTTCTTTCTTACTGCTCTCTTTACATCATCATTGCACCAGTCACTCTTCTTCCCTCCCACACCCACTTTCCTGTGACCACAAACTTTTGCTGAACACTCTAAACACTACATTTTTAAACCTACCCCATACATCATCAACCCCATTGCCTATACTCTCACTAGCCCATCTATCCTCCAATAGTTGTTTATATCTTACCCTAACTGTCTCCTCCTTTAGCTTATAAACCTTCACCTCTTAAATGCTGCTTCCATTTTCCTTGTATCCCATCTACCTTTTACTCTTGCTGTAGCTACAACTAGAAAGTGATCTGATATATCTGTGGCCCCTCTATAAATATGTACATCTTGAAGTCTACCCAGCAGTCTTTTATCTACCAATATGTAGTCCAACAAACTACTGTCATTACGTCCTGCATCATATATTGTATACTTATTTATCCTCTTTTTCTTAAAATATGTATTACCTATAACCACACCTCTTTCTATGCAAAGTTCAATCACAGGGGCCCCCATTATTATTTACTCCTGGCACTCCAAACCTACCTGCCACACCCTCTTTAAATGTTTCTCTTACTTTAGCATTTAGGTCCCCTACCACAATTACTCGCTCACTTGGTTCTGAAGTTCTTACACACACTCTGAACATCCCCCAAAATCTCTCTCTCTCTCTACACTCCTGTCTTCTTGAGGTGCATGCATACTTATTATGACCCACTTTTTGCATCCAACCCTTATTTTAATCCACATGATCCTTGAATTTACACATTTATATTCCCTCTTTTTCCATAACTCATCCTTCAACTTCATTGCTGTCCCTTCCTTAGCTCTAGCTCTGATACTCCTGACCACTGAAATTCACCTACCCCCTTCAGCTTTGTTTTGCTTAGAGCTAGGACATCCAACTTCTCATTTATAACATTAGCAATCATCCCAGGCATCCCAGTTTTATAAATTTTTTCTTCACGTTTTTAGTATTTTCTACAGGAGAATTCTATGAATTCTCTGCATACCATTCACACCACACATTACCCTAAGCCACTATGTAAGCTTTAATATAGTACTGTACACACAATTTACAGTTATGTTTCAATAAACACTGAAAGTAAAGGAGGTATAAAAGCACAATTTAACCACTGAAACTTGCCTGTTATTTTAAGTTGATTTTGAAGGTGCAGGATGTTTGGTAAAAAATAAAATTGTGATGATACTTTAGCTCCTCCTTGCTTAAATTAAGTTTCATTGATATGCTTTAATCTTGGTGTCAGTATTCCTTGAGTTCTTCAGTGTAATGCATTGGAGGCAGTTTTGAGCATTATGCTAATTATGAATCTAGTGTTTCTGCATGCTTTTAGTAATATGTTCATGCTTTAACAAAATTTGGTTAATACATGATGTGCTGCAAATTTGTTATTGATTTCTGACACAGCAAGTATTTGCTTTTGTATAATTTTGCATAAATTCTTATAGTTGGTGAAAACTGAGCAGCGCCTCCGAGCAATTCAGAGTGAATTGGAGTGTCAAAGGCACAACAGTGAAGCTGCACGCAAAAACCAAGAAGACAAGTTCAAAGAACGTGAGAGGGAGCTCAGTGCTGACATTACCAGAGCACAGAATGACATGATGGGTATGGGTGAGTATTCTCTAAGATGTGTGTGAACCCTTCTAGGGGAGTACCTTGATGCTGAAGAAGCACTTAATATGGGGGTTGGAGCTACCTTGGATCAAACATGATTGCTTTCTTCTTCCCAAGGCCCTGTGAGCATCTCCCCATATTAGTTTAGAGGTTCCCTATGACTATAATAAGTGAAGTTTCAGCTTCTGTACTCTCCTCTTAACTTTCAATTTGTTGGAGAAGCTGGCTTGTAGGCTCATGTTTTCTCATCACATCTACTTTGAAATGTTTATAGTGTGCTCAAGCAAATTGTTAATTTATCTTACATATGCATTATGCCAACACAGGAGAGGCACTTTCTAACATCCCTGGGACTTATGGACATTCACTTTCCATCATGTGTTCTCTTGCTGTGATCATTTTTCATGTTTTTCCATGCCAAAGTGTATTTGTTCCTTTGTAATTACAAAAAAAATTACCCTATACGTATGTAATTATTTTCACCTACAGAACGTCAGATATGTGATTTGCAGACCAAACTCCAGCAGCAGGAAACCTTGTCTCGCAATACCCAAAACACACTTCAGGCATCTTTAGATAAAGCACTGGCTCAGGTTAGTAGTACTTAGTAACATTGTTAAATGGGTACATTTAGGGTCGGATGGATATTTTGGGAATGAGGAAATATGAAATGAGTACTAGATTGTGTTTAGTGTGGTTATATAACAGTAAAGAAGGATTTTAATATGGTTGTTGCCTGTGTGAGAGTACTAAATGGGAAGGTTGACAGTGGTAAAAGCTGACAAGTGGAAATTAAGACACTAGTAGCAGAGGATCCTTTTAATATAAAGATTTGCCCAATGCTGGGCTTCATAAAGTATGCAGGAATGAGGCTGAGTATTTGTTCATTCCTGTGTATCTGATAAAACCCAGCCTTGGCCAAAACATTATATTTACATTATCCTTTGCCATTAGTCTTTATTCCCAATAATTGGGAATATGAAACAAAGCTACAGATTTCTTGTTTTCTCGTTAGAGCAAATTTGCCGGTGTTACTTGGAAAATAATTATGGTTGACAATCGATTAACACAGCATTACACGTTCTTGAAAGCAGTGTCTAAGCGTCTAAATAAAAAATTGTGTAAAATGAAGTTAATACATGGGAAAACAAGTTTATATTCCTCAGATCCCCAAAAACATATTTTTTTTTTTTTAAGATAATTATAAATGCTCCATCCTGTAAAATATACAACTATTTGCTGAATCATTAGAGAGAGCCAGTATATATACAAGAGGAGTGCCATTACCACTAATACCCTTACTTAATACTACTGCTACAATACTATTACTACTACACTACTATTACTACAATACTAGTACTACAATACTACTATTATACTACTACAACTATTTCTAACAGCATTACTTCTACCACTACTATCTCCCCTTCTTTTTTCCTTCCCTCTGTCCTATCCCTGCCTTCCTCTCGTATATATACTGGCTCCCTTACCTTCGTGTATTTGCTGAAGATGTTTTCTGATTGAGGTCACAAGGTGTAAATATCTGTTTTACTTTTATTTCAGTTTTCCTTCAGAGTGCTTTCACACTTTTCACAATGTTAAAAGTATTATTAATCAGATATGACAGGTTCTATTACTTAATTTTTTTTAACAATATCCTTAAAGTAAAATATCAAGTATAAATAATTTATTAACATGGTGTTACTGTATTCAGATAGCATCAGTGGATAAGGATTGCAAAGTGGCTGTGAATCGTAGCAGTCAGCTAGAGGCAGAGATTGCTAAGTTAGAGAAGACGGCCCAAGACTCTGCTAAAACTCTAACTCAGTTGCGCCAAGACAAGGAAATGGCAGCTGCTCAGGTGAATTTTTTTTTTCCATCTTTTCTTTCCACATTATTAAGCATAGTTTTCCTCTCTCATCAGGAATTTAATGTTTTATCACAGCTGCCTTTGCAAATATGCTGGGGTTCGTTCCTAGAGGTTCTGTGAAACGAACTGCAAATAATGCAAAATAAAATTTAAGTAACATTTTGCTTTAGATTTGGGCTAGTTTTGTTTCCTAGACCATATCTTTAATGTATCATTCTAATCTGGTTAACGTTGGTATTCACAAAAAAGGATGTCCATAATAAAAGGAAATTTGGACACGGGACAGCCATTGAGCCAGAAAATCGTTGAATAATAGTCTAATGGCTGGTTGCCCTTAACCCTTTGAGGGTTTTCGTCGTACTAGTACGTCTTACGCGTAGGGGTTTTTGACGTACTAGTACGCATAAATTCTAGCGGCCTCAAATCTCGCGCGAAAAGGCTGATAGGCCTAGGTGTGAGAGAATGGGTCTGCGTGGTCAGTGTGCGCGGTAGAAAAAAAATCTGGGACCCAGTGGTGCATTGTGGGAATGCCCTCTTAGTAAACAATGTCCACCATGCCTCGCGGTAAGAAGCTCCTCACTCCTCGGCGAATTGGGACACTTTTGTTCCCCAGTGACAGTTCTAATAGTGATGGAAGTGCCAGTGAAGATGATTTCGTGGTTTTAGTGAGGTTTTGACCGAAACTAATGACCATAATATCGGTAATAGTGAAGAAAACCCAGACGACCCTCAGCCTTCCACCTCTGGTGCTGGGCCCTCGTGTTCACGTTCAGTTGTTCCAGAACCCAAGAGGAAACTTCTATTTTCCCAAATCCCAGACTCAGATGAGAGCATGGGTGATGATAGTGATAGTGAATATGAACTACAAGCTCTTCAAACTAGTTCCAGTAGTGATGTGAAGTGCAATATTCCCCAGTGAAGCGTCAGTATATACGACGATATATGCGCTCTGGAAGTGTGCCATATGTTATACCAAGGGGAAGGAGTGTATCTCGGAGTACATCCCGTGGCTGTACACAACAGGAACAGACAGTGAAAATGACGAAGATACTGTTGCAATTGGGATGGAAAATGTGCGTGGTGGTAGTGGTGCCGGCGGTGAGGCACCAGCAGTGGGCCATGCTGCCACCCACGCTGCCAGCCACGCCGCTGCCTCAGCTGATCTAGAACAAAGGCCACCATCCCCCACTCCCACCACCACACCAGCCTCCACAACCACAACCTCCACAACCACAACCCCCACAACCACAACCTCCACAACCACAACCCCCACAACCACAACCTCCACAACCACAACCCCCACAACCACAACCTCCACAACCACAACCACCTGTCATTGTCCAGTACCCACCAGCAGACCGCACCTGGGATTGGCAGGAAGCTGTCAATTTGTTCCAAATCCCCACCAGTTTGATGGCAGCCAAAGTGGAATACGGCCATCTTGTGCACTTGGGAAACAATGCCACTGAACTGGAATGTTTCGAGTTATTCTTTGACGAACCACTGATGAAAAGTATTGTCATGGAAAGCAACACATACTACGAGTACACCATGGCAAACACAATACTTTCACCAAAATCACGTCTACACCAATGGAAGGAGGCAACTGTGGCTGAGATGTATCTTTTCTTTGCCACAATAATGCTTATGCCACATGTGTATAACACCAAAGTGAAATCATACTGGTCAACAGATCCCCTGATTGCAACACCAGGTTTCAGTGATATAATGCCAGTGAATCGATTTGTGCTAATGTTACGTATGCTTCACTTCTCAGATAAAACCAGGGCCTGACAGAACTGACAGGTTATATAAGATTAGGAATGTGTTGTGTATCTGAAACAGAAATTCAGTACTCATTTTTATCCCTTCAGGAAGCTTGTAATTGATGAGTCTTTGATTCTGTTCAAAGGAAGACTCTTTCAAGCAGTACATACCAAGCAAGAGGAAACGCTTTGGTATAAAGTTGTTTGTGCTTTGTGATTGTTACAGTGGTCTGGTATTGGATATTATTGTGTAAATGGAAGTTATACATTGCAAAATACCAGGAAGTTATTGGGGCATCTCAGGTGATGTGGTTCGAACAATGTAGAACCATACCTTGGTTAAGGGGCATATATTATATACAGATAACTGGTACACAAGCCCTCACTCAGTGATTTTTTGCGAGTGAACATGACAGATGTGTGTGGCACAGTGCGTGCAAATCGAAAACATATGCCCAGGTTTGATGCTGGCACTCGCAGAGGTGAGGTGCAGGCGTTTGCTGCCAATGACATCATGGCATTTCGGTGGCATGACAAACGAGATGTCACACTGTTGTCATCAATTCACCTAATGAAATGGCAAGACAGTGGCAGGCAGCATAGAGAGAGAAATGAACCCATTCTAAACCTGCAGCTGTGATTGATTACACCTCAACATGCGTTCAGTGGACAAATGTGACATGCAGATTGGGTTTGCTGATTGTGTTCGCAAGAGTTATAAGTGGTACATCAAACTGTTTTTCCATCTTCTGGACATTTCCATGCTCAATGCTTATAATATGTATAAGATGAGCACCAGAAACAAACCACAGTACGGCGAATTCTGTTTGTCTGTCATCAGACAAATAGTATTCAAGTACCAAGGAAATGCACTGCAATTGACCGCCCACCAAATTATCAACAACTACCTGCTCGTCTGAAGCATGGTGATCACTTCCTGGTAAAACTGCCTGCTACTGCTTTGAAGAAAAAGGCTCAGAAGAGGTGTTACGTCTGTCACATACAAAAAAACGCCCACGACAACGCAGAGACACTCGTTTTATGTGTGAGGAGTGCAAAACTCCACTGTGCATGACACCATGTTTCAAAGAGTTCCACAGGCTGCAGAACTTCTAGAAACATGTCCTGTGACTGTATATGTGTATATAAAATATAGAAAAATAGTAATAAACAACATTTCATATTGTTTGTTTGTGTAAATATTTTCTGTAAACAAAATAATGACAACAGTGTTTACGCCCTTATTGTGTAGTATTGAAAAAGAAATAACTTACAAAATACTGATCATGTTGGCCTCAGAGGCCATAAAAGTTACTCAGAAAAAGAAAAATTGAAAAAAAATTGAAAATAGTACATAAAAAAGTAAATAGAAAAATACCGGGTGACGGCAGTCGGCGATGTTACCATACGTTGTTCAATTTTGGCAAATTTCACACCTCCATATCTCGGTAAGTATTGACGTTAAAATTTTTTTGTTTAGCCTATAATGTTTAGAAAAAAATACTCTATTTTTTCATAAGAAAAAATAATTTTTTTTTTTTTTGAAATTTGGCCGACCCTGAGAACGAGTTTCGGAGAGGGCCTGTCGACCCTCAAAGGGTTAAAAGAAAGTTGGATAATCAAAACTCATGGATATTGAAGGCCATTCATTTTTATTGAAAACTTCATTAATATTAACCCTTTCAGGGTTTCGGACGTACTGGTATACGGCTTACGCAGTAGGGTCCATGACGTACTAGTACTCATAAATTCTAGCTCCTTCAAATCTAGTGAGAGAAAGTTGGTAGGCCTACATATGAAAGAATGGGTCTATGTGGTCAGTGTGCGCAGTATAAAAAAAAATCCTGCAGCACACAGTGCGTAATGAGAAAAAAAAAACTTTGACCGTGTTTTAGGATTAAAACAGTGACTTTGCACTGTATTTTCATATGGTATTTATTGTTGTATTCTAGTTTTCCTGGTCTCAATGTATAGAATGGAAGACATATTACAGAAATTGAGATGATTTTGACTGGTTTTACAAAGAAAAGTACCTTGAAATTGAGCTCAAAGTAGCAGAAATGTTCGATTTTTACCAAAGTTCAAAAGTAAACAAATCGTCCTAAGCGTCCAATACACGTCAACTGGTGAGTCTAATATTCTTTCACAAGTGCGCCGGTATTATTTATACCATTTCTACACTAATGCAGTAGTTTGCATAACAGTAAATCTTCTATTTTTTGTGAGAATAAAAATTCAAAATGGAAAGCAAAAGAATGTAAGAGGGGCGTGGGGACGTGACTAATGAACAGAGGAAATGTTATTTTAGTGCCAGGAATGTCTTTCTTGTTTATTCTGAACCCTATTTGGAAATTGGCATCTTTTGAAATTTGTGTGAAATTGGCAAAATTGCTAAATTCTGACCACTGTATTGGATAGTTGAAATCGGTAAATTGGTGGTTTCTTGTATTCATTCGATAGAAAAAATGGAGTTCCAGCAAAAGTTACTTTTGTCGACTAGTACATTGGAATTGACCGAAAATAGGGCTCAAAGTGGACAAAATCGCCAATGCGTAAACATCGTCGAGACTGCTAACTTCGCGAGAGCATAATTCCGTAAGTTTTCCATCAAATTTCATACTTTCGGTGTCATTATGATCGGGAATTTTTTTTTTTTAAATTTGGGGGACCCTGAGAACAAGTCTGAGAGGGCCTGTGGACCCTGAAAGGGTGAAGTATACAGTAAACTTTATATAATGGACAGAACTCTGTTAATAAATAACCAAAAATAAGAATTTAAGTACTCTGCTGTATACTTAATATAGTATTATGCACAGTTGACAGATATACTATAATAAACATTGAAAATAAAGAAGTTAAGAGTACAAATTTACCTAGTAATTTTTCTCATTTCTAAAGTCTTTTATAACAAGGTCCACTACATTGAGTATTTACTGTAATTGCTGTTATTGGCATTAGCTAAGTATTGTGCTTAAGATATACTGTACTACTAAATTTAGATTGCTACAACTTTCAATGCATCGGCCGTATCCCACTGAGTTGGGGTGGCCCAAGAGAAAAAAATGAAAGTTTCTTCTTTTAAATTTAGTAATATATGCAGGAGAAGGGGCTGAGACAGAAAAAAAGTCACCAGCAGTCATACCATCATCGAAAACAATTACAGGCTTACGTTGTACACTCGCTTGGCAGGATGGTAGTACCTCCCTGGGTAGCTGCTGTCTACCAACCTACTACCTACATTTAGATTACTATGCTTAAATATATATATATATATAAAGTAGTTTATTAGATTATGTATTGGTGGATAAAAGGTTGATGGGTAGGCTCCAGGATGTACATGTTTATAGAGGGGCAGCTGATATATCGGATCATTATTTAGTTGTAGCTACAGTTAGAGTAAGAGGTAGATGGGAAAAGAGGAAGGTGGCAACAACAAGTAAGAGGGAGGTGAAAGTGTATAAACTAAGGGAGGAGGAAGTTCGGGCGAGATATAAGCGACTATTGGCAGAAAGGTGGGCTAGTGCAAAGATGAGTAGTGGGGGGGTTGAAGAGGGTTGGAATAGTTTTAAAAATGCAGTATTAGAATGTGGGGCAGAAGTTTGTGGTTATAGGAGGGTGGGGGCAGGAGGAGTGATTGGTGGAATGATGAAGTAAAGGGTGTGATAAAAGAGAAAAAGGTAGCTTATGAGAGGTTTTTACAAAGCAGAAGTGTTATAAGAAGAGCAGAGTATATGGAGAGTAAAAGAAAGGTAAAGAGAGTGGTGAGAGAGTGCAAAAGGAGAGCAGATGATAGAGTGGGAGAGGCACTGTCAAGAAATTTTAATGAAAATAAGAAAAAATTTTGGAGTGAGTTAAACAAGTTAAGAAAGCCTAGGGAAAATATGGATTTGTCAGTTAAAAACAGAGTAGGGGAGTTAGTAGATGGGGAGATGGAGGTATTGGGTAGATGGCGAGAATATTTTGAGGAACTTTTAAATGTTAAGGAAGAAACAGAGGCAGTAATTTCATGCACTGGTCAGGGAGGTATACCATCTTTTAGGAGTGAAGAAGAGCAGAATGTAAGTGTGGGGGAGGTACGTGAGGCATTACGTAAAATGAAAGGGGGTAAAGCAGCTGGAACTGATGGGATCATGACAGAAATGTTAAAAGCAGGGGGGGATATAGTGTTGGAGTGGTTGGTACTTTTCAATAAATGTATGAAAGAGGGGAAGGTACCTAGGGATTGGCGGACAGCATGTATAGTCCCTTTATATAAAGGGAAAGGGGACAAAAGAGACTGTAAAAATTATAGAGGAATAAGCTTACTGAGTATACCAGGAAAAGTGTACGGTAGGGTTATAATTGAAAGAATTAGAGGTAAGACAGAATGTAGGATTGTGGATGAGCAAGGAGGTTTCAGAGTGGGTAGGGGATGTGTAGATCAGGTGTTTACATTGAAGCATATATGTGAACAGTATTTAGATAAAGATAGGGAAGTTTTTATTGCATTTATGGATTTAGAAAAGGCATATGATAGTGGATAGAGGAGCAATGTGGCAGATGTTGCAAGTATATGGAATAGGTGGTAAGTTATTAAATGCTGTAAAGAGTTTTTATGAGGATAGTGAGGCTCAGGTTAGGGTGTGTAGAAGAGAGGGAGACTACTTCCCAGTAAAAGTAGGTCTTAGACAGGGATGTGTAATGTCACCATGGTTGTTTAATATATTTATACATGAGGTTGTAAAAGAAGGAAATGCTAGGGTGTTCAGGAGAGGGGCGAGATTAAATTATGGGGAATCAAATACAAAATGGGAATTGAGTTACTTTTTACTGATGATACTGTGCTTATGGGAGATACTAAAGAAAAATTGCTTAGCTCAGTGGACGAGTTTGAGTGTGTGTAAAGGTAGAAAGTTGAAAGTGAACATAGAAAAGGGTAAGGTGATGAGGGTATCAAATGATTTGGATAAAGAAAAATTGGATATCAAATTGGGAAGGAGTATGGAAGAAGTGAATTTTTTTTTTTTTCAACAAGTCTGCTGTCTCCCACCGAGGCAGGGTGACCCAAAAAAGAAAGAAAATCCCCAAAAAGAAAATACTTTCATCATCATTCAACACTTTCACCACACTCACACATTATCACTGTTTTTGCAGAGGTGCTCAGAATACAACAGTTTAGAAGCATACACATATAAAGATACACAACATATCCCTCCAAACTGCCAATATCCCAAACTCCTCCTTTAAAGTGCAGGCACTGTACTTCCCATTTCCAGGACTCAAGTCCGACTATATGAAAATAACCGGTTTCCCTGAATCCCTTCACTAAATATTACCCTGCTCACACTCCAACAGATCGTCAGGTCCCAAGTACCATTCGTCTCCATTCACTCCTGTCGAACACGCTAACGCACGCTTGCCCACAAGATGTGAATGTTTTCAGATATTTGGGAGTTGACGTGTCAGCGGATGGATTTATGAAGGATGAGGTAGTCACAGAATTGATGAAAGAAAAAAAGACTAGTGGTGCGTTGAGGCATATGTGGAGACAAAAAAAAGTTATCTAGGGAGGCAAAGAAGGGAATGTATGAAAGTATAGTAGTACCAACACTCCTATATGGGTGTGAAGCTTGGGTTGTATATGCTGCAGCGAGGAGGCGGTTGGAGGCAGTGGAGATGTCCTGTCTAAGGGCAATGTGTGGTGTAAATACTATGCAGAAAATTCAGAGTGTGGAAATTAGAAGGTGTGGAGTTAATAAAAGTATTAGTCAGAGGGATGAAGAGGGGTTTCTGAGGTGGTTTGGACATTTAGAGAAAATGGATCAGAGTAGAATGACATGGAGAGCGTATAAATCTGTAGGGGAAGGAAGGCGGGATGGGGGACGTCTTCGAAAAAGTTGGAAGGAGGGGGCAAAGGAGGTTTTGTGGGTGAGGGGCCTGGACTTTCAGCAAGCGTGCGTGAGTGTGTTAGGTAGGAGTGAATGGAGATAAATGGTATTTGGGACCTGACAATCTGTTGGAGTGTGAGCAGGGTAATATTTAGTGAAGGGATTCAGGGAAGCCGGTTATTTTTGTATAGCTGGACTTGAGTCCTGGAAATGGGAAGTACAATGCCTGTACTTTAAAGAAGGGGTTTGGGATATTGGCAGCTTGGAGGGATATGTTGTGTCTTTATATGTATATGCTTTTAAACTGTTGTGTTCTGGGCACCTCTGCAAAAACAGTGATTATGTATGAGTGAGATGAAAGTGTTTAATGATGATAAAAGTATTTTCTTTTCGGGGATTTTCTTTCTTTTTGGGTCACCCTGCCTAGGTGGGAGATGGCCGACGTGTTAAAGAAAAAAATAAAAATGGGATCAATGGAAGGTGTAAGGGACATTCAAGGAAGGTTGGTGAGGATTCTGTGAAAGGTTTTTGAATGGTGTGAACTTGAGCATCCAGCAGCCATATATGAATGTTTTAAGTCAGACGCTCATGGTTCTTGGAGGTGAAAAGTATGGAGCCAGCACACTGAAAGCCATTTGAGAATGTATTTCCATGAGTGTTGCATGAATTGTAACACCTATGTTCTGTTTATATGACCTAAAAGAAACAAATAATGAATGTCATTACTTCTGTGGGTGTCACTAAGTGGGGAGCAGCAGATATGTTAAAATATGATGTTTTCTTTCAGGTATTAGGACTGAAGACAAAACTTTGTGCAGCAGAATCCTTGGTAGAGAAGCTGACTACCCGTGTAGAGTTAGCTGAGCAGCTGGCAGACAGTAGAAAGCTTGAACTGGAACAGCTACACTCTGATAAAGACAAGGTAAGCTTTACGTGTTTTTTTTTAAGTAGTGCATTTACTAAGTAGGTAAGTAATTCTTTAAAGATAAATTTTTCTCAAAGCCATTAAATGCTCCATGATTGAGTGGAAGACATAACTAAAAAATGCATAACTCCCGTATTAGTGTTACTTAACTCTGAAAATGATGTTGAGTCTATTCCTTAATTTTCTTTTTCATTTTCATTTTGAATTGCTCATTTTATTAATTAGTCATGCTTAGGACTGATTTATAAATTTTTCATTTCTAAAATTATTTTAAAATTGCTTTTGTTCTAGTACAATCCTACTCTAATAGCTCTATAGCTGTTCATTGGGATGGGATATTACAAAACTGCAACTGATCACTGAATGAATTTTATCTTCATGATATGAATGTTTTCATTGGGTTACCCTGTCTTGAGAAATGGCTAGTGTGTTATAAAAATTTTCCTACAAGATGTAATGTTGAGTTTGAGGTGTTGAGAAACCATGTGAAGGACCTAATGTTTATCATATACCTGAATATTAAATTTCCAGGCTGTTAAAGAGGCTGAAAATACTATCACCAAGTTATCTCAAGAAATCATCCAACTTCAGGAAGAGCTGAAATCCAAAGAAAAACAGAAGGAAGAAGCACAGCAGGCAATTAATATAACCAAAGATGAATGTGACAAGAAATTAGCAGGTATTTGGAAACTAGTATTCTCCCCTAAATTTATTTTAACCCCTTCACTCTCCAAACCCCCAGAATTAATATGGCTCTGTGTCCATTTTTTTTTTTTATGTATTTATTTATTCTGAAATAGTAGAGAATCTTTTTCTGAAGGCAGTGAAAATTTGATGGAAAACTTATGAAATTGCACAGGGTCAAAGGTAATGGTCTCGGCGTAATTTATACATCAGTGGTTTTGCCCAGTTTGAGTTCCCTTTTAAGAGGATTGCATTGCTCCATTTGACCAGATTCTTAGCTAGTTGGCTTACTATCTATCAATTGAGAACAAGAAACTGCCCATCTAAGTATTTCAAGTACCCTATTAAGTGCCAATTTACACACAAAATATGCCAATTTAAAGATAGTCCAGAATAAACATTGTAGGCATTCTAAACTGTTGTGTTCTGAGCACATCTGCAAAAACAGTGATTGTGTGAGCGAGGTGAAAGAGTTGAATGATGATGAAAGTATTTTCTTTTTGGGGATTTTCTTTCTCTTTGGGTCACCCTGCCTCGGTGGGAGACGGCCGACTTGTTGAAAAAAAAAAATCACCTTACTCTTTTCTATGTTCAATTTCAACTTTCTACCTTACACTACCAAACTCGTACACTAAACTTTGCAACTTCTCTTTAGAATCTCCCATAAGCACAGTATCATCAGCAAAAAGTAACGGTGGCAATTCCCATTTTGCATTTGATTCCCAATAATTTAATCCCACCCCTCTCCCAAACACCCTAGCATTTACTTCTTTTACAACCCTATCTTTTTTCTTTTTTTTTTTTTTTAACGGGCCGTATCCCACCGAGGTAGGGTGGCCCAAAAAGAAAAACTAAAGTTTCTCTTTTTAAATTTAGTAATTTATACAAGAGAAGGGGTTACTAGTCCCCTTGCCCCCGGCATTTTAGTTGCCTCTTACAACACGCATGGCTTATGGAGGAAGAATTCTGTTCCACTTTCCCATGGAAGTAGGAAATAAACAAGAACTAGAAAGTAAACAGCAGAAAACCCAGAGGGGTGTGTATATATATATATGCTTGTACATGTATGTGTAGTGTGACGTAAGTGTAAGTAGAAGTAGCAAGACATACCTGAAATCTTGCATGTTTATGAGATGGAAAAAAGACACCAGCAATCCTTCCATCACGTAAAACAATTACAGGTTTCTGTTTTACACACGCTTGGCAGGGTGGTAGTACCTCCCTGGACGGTTGCTGTCTACCAACCTACTGCCTACAACAACCCCATCTATAAATATATTAAATAACCATGGTGACATTACACATCCCTGTCTAAGACCTACTTTTACCGGGAAGAAGTCTCCCTCTCTTCTACACACCCTAACCTGAGCCTCACATCCTCATAGAAACTCTTTACAGCATTTAGTAACTTGCCACCTATTGCACATACCTGCAACATCTGCCACGTTGCTCCCCTATCCACTCTATTGTATTTTTTTTTTCCAACAAGTCGGCCGTCTCCCACCGAGGCAGGGTGACCCAAAAAAGAAAGAAAATCCCCAAAAAGAAAATACTTTCATCATCATTCAACACTTTCACCACACTCGCACATTATCACTGTTTTTGCAGAGGTGCTCAGAATACAACAGTCTAGAAGCATACACATATAAAGATACACATATCCCTCCAAACTGCCAATATCCCAAACCCCTCCTTTAAAGTGCAGGCATTGTACTTCCCATTTCCAGGACTCAAGTCCGACTATATGAAAATAACCGGTTTCCCTGAATCCCTTCACTAAATATTACCCTGCTCACACTCCAACAGATCGTCTGGTCCCAAGTACCATTCGTCTCCATTCACTCCTATCTAACACGCTCACGCACGCTTGCTGGAAGTCCAAGCCACTTACCCACAAAACCTCCTTTACCCCCTCTCTCCAACCCTTTCGAGGACGACCCCTACCCCGCCTTCCTTCCCCTATAGATTTATATGCTTTCCATGTCATTCTACTTGGATCCATTCTCTCTAAATGACCAAACCACCTCAACAACCCCTCTTCTGCCCTCTGACTAATATTTTATTAACTCCACACCTTCTCCTAATTTCCACACTCCGAATTTTCTGCATAATATTTACACCACACATTGCCCTTAAACAGGACATCTCCACTGCCTCCAACCGTCTCCTCGCTGCTGCATTTACCACCCAAGCTTCACACCCATATAAGAGTGTTGGTACTACTATACTTTCATACATTCCCTTCTTTGCCTCCATAGATAACGTTTTTTGACTCCACATATACCTCAACGCACCACTCACCTTTTTTCCCTCATCAATTCTATGATTAACCTCATCCTTCATAAATCCATCCGCCGACACGTCAACTCCCAAGTATCTGAAAACATTCACTTCTTCCATACTCCTCCTCCCAATTTGATATCCAATTTTTCTTTATCTAAATCATTTGACACCCTCATCACCTTACTCTTTCTATGTTCACTTTCAACTTTCTACCTTTACACACATTCCCAAACTCATCCACTAACCTTTGCAATTTTTCTTTAGAATCTCCCATAAGCACAGTATCATCAGCAAAAAGTAACTGTCAATTCCCATTTTGAATTTGATTCCCCATAATTTAATCCCACCCCTCTCCCAAACACCCTAGCATTTACTTCCTTAACAACCCCATCTATAAATATATTAAACAACCATGGTGACATTACACATCCCTGTCTAAGACCTACTTTTACCGGGAAATAGTCTCCCTCTCTTCTACACACCCTAACCTGAGCCTCACTATCTTCATAAAAACTCTTTACAGCATTTAATAACTTACCACCTATTCCATATACTTGCAACATCTGCCACATTGCTCCTCTATCCACTCTATCATATGCCTTTTCTAAATCCATAAATGCAATAAAAACTTCCCTACCTTTATCTAAATACTGTTCACATATATGCTTCAATGTAAACACTTGATCTACACATCCCCTACCCACTCTGAAACCTCCTTGCTCATCCGCATCCTACATTCTGTCTTACCTCTAATTCTTTCAATTATAACCCTACCGTACACTTTTCCTGGTATACTCAGTAAGCTTATTCCTCTATAATTTTTACTACCGTCCTGCCAGATGACTGTGAAACAAAAACCTGTAACTGTTTTGCATGATGGTAGGATTGCTGGTTTCTTTTTCTGTCTCATAAACACGCTAAGATAACAGAGATATCTTGCTACTCCTACTTCACACTTTGGTCACCTTCACAGACACGCACATGCATATATATATATACATACATCTAGGTTTTTCTCCTTTTTCTAAATAGCTCTTGTTCTTTTTTATTTCTTCTATTGTCCATGGGGAAGTGGAAAAGAATCTTTTCCTCCGTAAGCCATGCGTTGTCGTATGAGGCTGACTAAAATGCCGGGAGCAATGGGCTAGTAACCCCTTCTCTGTATACAATTACTAAAAAGAGAAGAAGAAAAACTTTATAAAACTGGGTTGGTAAATGTGCGTGGATGTAGTGCGGATGTCAAGAAACACAGATGATGCTGATGTTATGAATGAAAAGAAGTTGGATGTCACTGGCCCTAAGCGAAAACAAAGCTGAAGGGGGTAGGGAGAGTTTCCGTGGGGGGAAATAAATGGGATTAATTGGAGTCTCTGACAGAGTTAGAGCAAAGGCAAGGGGTAGCAGTAATGTTAAATGATCAGTTATGGAAGGGAGAAAAGAGAATATGAATGTGTAAATTCAAGAATTATGAGGATTAAAGTAAAGGTTGGATGCGAGAGTGGGTCATAATAAGCGTGGTATGCACTAGGAGAAGAGAGGAATGCAGAGGAGGAGAGAGAGATTTTGGGAGATGTTAAGTGAATGTATAGGAGCCTTTGAACCAAGTGAGAGAGTAATTGTGAGTAGGGGACTTGAAGCTAAAGTAGGAGACAACTTTTAGAGGGGTGTGGTAAGTAGTTTGGGGTTTTTTTTTATGGTGCCCAGGTTGTTAATGATAATGGGAGCCTTTTGAATGAATTTCGTATAGAAAGGGGTTTAGTTATAGGGTAATACCTATTTTAAGAAAAAGAGGGATAAATAAAGAATACACGATATGAGTAGGGCGAAATGGACAGTGTTGTTGGATTATGTATTGGAAGATAAAAGACTGTTGAGTAACTTCAGGATTGTACATGTTTATAGAGGGCCACAGATATATAGATCACTTTTCTAGTTGTCGCTACATGAGCGAAAAAGGTAGATGGGATACAAGGAGAATAGAAGCATCAGGAAGAGAGAGGTGAGGGTTTATAAACTAAAAGAGGGAGGCATTTAGGGTAAGATTAAACAGCTTATTGAGGATATATGGGCTAATGAGAGCATAGGCAATGGGGTCGAAGAGGTATGGGGGTAGTTTAAAAATGTAGTGTTAGAGTGTTCAGCGAAGTTTGTGGTTACAGGAAAGTGGGTGCAGGAGAGGAAAGAGGAGCGATTGGAGGATGATGATGTAAAGAGAGTATTAAGGGTAGAAAAAAGTTAGCATATGAGAAGTTTTTACAAAGTCAGAAGTGATGCAAGGGAGGAAGGTATATGGAGAAAGAGAGAATTAAGGGTGGTGAAGCACTGTAAAAAGAGAGCACATGAGAGAGTGGGTGAGATGTTATCAACAAATTTTGTTGAAAATAAGAACATGTTTTGGAAGTGAGATTAACAGTAAGCAAGCTAGAGGAACAATTGATTTTTCAGTTAAACATAGAGAGGCTATTTATAAACATGAGATGTAGCGTTCTATGTAATAAGTGACGTAACATATCTTCCAAGTACCCATTAAAACCCCCCCCCCCCCCCCCCCCCCTTTGTATTTTTTTTTTCCCCCCCCCCCCCCCCCCCCCCCCCCCCCCCCCCCCCCCCCCCCCACACCCCCCAATGGTGTTGGATGTATGGGAAGCTGTGAATTTGTGTATAGGGCAAGGGAGGAAATAACATCTTGTAAGGAGTGAGGAAGAGCCAGTG